AGTATGATTTGGCTTTCAGCTCATTTGCAGTTTTAAATTTTCTAATTACAATAGAGCTTAACTCAGACTTCAATGCAAAACTGAGACAAACTAAGTTATAAAGGTATATCCTCATTCCTTCCTTCCGCCTACTCTATATTTGCTCATCTTGTTGGGGGGGAGATGGCAAATTTACCGGTTCATAATTGATTTCAACCTTTACCCAAGTATAGGTGTCTTGTCTGCATACCTGTCTGTGTACCACATGAATGCTTGGTGCCCACAGGGGCCAGAAGAGCACTAGATCCCCTGGAACTGGAGTTACTGGTGATTATGAACTGCCATGTGGGCGCTGGGAATTGAACCCAGGTCCTCTGGAAAATCAGCCAGTGTGCTCTTAACCACTACGTCAATTTTTTCAACCCCTTTACTCAACATTTAATTCACTCAAAATCTGCTGGAGAACTGAGCAGATCAGATACCTGACCTGCCTCTGCTATGAGATTGTTGTACATCAGCTTTCTCAAGTTTTTAAATGGATGTCAGTACTCACCCAGAAAAATGGAAGGAAAAACCTGGAAATAACTAGAAAAAGGCTTTGGATAAACTACTGTCTGGTAACAAGTTGTTACATTTTCTGAAAAGGATTATTAATTTTAACACTAATATATTTTCCCTAGAATCCTTAAAATTTTTCTTCCTATGTTCATCTAAAGAGAAATCCCGCCCCCCACAAGACAGGGCTTCTCTGTGTAGCCCTGGCTATCCTGGAATTCACCATGTAGACCAGGTTGACTTCAAACTCAGAGCTTGGTCTGCTTCTGTCTCCTGAGTGCTGGGATTAAAAGTGAGCACCACCATGCCCATCTTAAAGAGCAATTTTTACTATAACAGGTTAGAAAATGTTTTGTCATTGCTAGCGATTTAACCAGCTTTGCACATATTAGACCAGGTATTTATTTTCAATTCTTTATTCATTTTACATACCAACCACTATTTCCCTCACCTCCCCAAGCCCATCCCTCATCCACTCCTCCAAAAGGATAAAGCCTCCCATAGGGAGTCAACAAAGCCTGACACATTAAGTTGAGGGAGGTACCAAGGCCCTCCCCTCTGCATCAAGGCTGAGCAAGGCATCCTACCATAGGGAACAAGTTCCAAAGAGCTAGCTCACACATCAGTGACAGATCCTGTCCCATTGCCAGAGGCCTCAGAAACAGACCAAGCTATACAACTGTCACCCACATGCAAAGGGCCTAGTTCAGTCCCATGCAGACCCCCAGCTGTCAGAACAAGTATTTTTAATCAATCATGATTAAGACAAGTAGACACAGAAGTCATACCTTACGAAGTAAAACATCAGGTCCCCGAGTTCCTTTCCTGGTGAAGGTACAAAACAACCTGACGTAAGTTCAAAGTAACTTTCTCAGTCACTTCAAGCTTCATGCTGTAGGGTGTTCTGTGGATCTCCATTATGAGTTCATTAGCAACACTTACTTCATTTCATAGAATATGTAAGCTCAAGGCTAAGGTCCTTTATTAGGCAAAAAAAAATAGCCTGTTTTATGAGTCTCCACACTATATGGTAGTCCTCTTTCTCTTATCCATGGTTTTAACTATCTACAAGAAACAACAGCCCAAATATATTAAATGAAAAATTCCAGAAATGTAACATGATGGGCCCTGCTTGTTTGGGTATCTGTCCCACCCAGTTCCCCACTGCCACAAGTCCCAGACAAAATCAACCACACAGAGATCTCTATAAGTTATAAAGCTGATTGGCCCTTTAGGTCAGGCTACTTATAAGCTAATGCTCACATCTTGATTAACCCATTTTTTTGATCTATGTTAGCCATGTGGCTCAGTACCTTTTTCAGTGGGGCAGCTCACATCCTGCTGCTTTGGTGGTCTGGGCAGGAGTGGGAGGAATCAGCTTCCTCCTTTCCAGAATTCTCCTGCTCTTCTTGCATCATTTCCACTTCCTGTCTGGTTTCCTCCCTACACCTCCTGCCTGGCCAATCAGCGTTTATTTAAAACATGATTGACAGAATACAGACAATTCTCCCGCACCACAGAAATAAACAAGTCTTAAGTTTCAAACTGGATACCACCCTGAGTAGCATGGGCTCTCACACTGTTCAACTGTCCTGCCAGGGCCATCAATGACCTTGTCCAGTGTGTGTATCTGCACTTGGTAGCTGTCTGCGATACCAATCAATTCCTACGACATTGTACGCAAAGTTAGAGTTAGTTGGCACTAGCAACTCGGGTGCATCCAAGAAAGGATGCACAGCACTTTCTTCCAGTAAAAAGAGCAAAATCATCAATTTAAGAACAAAAAGTGTTTTTCAGTTTGGGGGTGGGAGTGGAGTGGGAGTAAGGGGAGATGGGGAGAGAGAAGGGAGAAGGGGAGGTTGGGGAGAACTTGGGGGAATGGGATGGTTGGGATGGAGGAAAGGTAGATATGGGAGCAGGGAAGTAGATATCTTAATTAAGGGAGCCATTTTAGGGTTGGCAAGAGACTTGACTCTAGAGGGGTTCCCAGGTGTCCAAGATGTCCCCAGTTTGTTCCTTGGGCAGCTGAGGAGAGGGCACCTGAACTGGCCTTATCCTATAGCCACACTGATGAATTTCTTGCATATCACCATAGAACCTTCATCTAGTGATGGATGGAGATAGAGACAGAGACCCACATTGGAGCACTGGACAAGGTCCAAATGAGGAGCAGGAGGGAGAACATGAGCAAGGAAGTCAGGACCTCGAGGGGTGCACCCACCCACTGAGATGGTGGGGCTGATCTAATGGGAGCTCATCAAGGCCAGCTGGGCTGGGACTGATGGAGCATGTGATCAAACCAGACTCTCTGAATGTGGCCAACAATGAGGGCTGACTGAGAAGCTAAGGACAATGGCAGAGTTTGGATTCTACTGCATGTACTGGCTTTGTGGGAACCTAGTCTGTTTGGATGCACACCTTCCTAGGCCTGGATGGAGGGGGGAGGACCTTGAACTTCCCACAGGGCAGGGAACCCTGACTGCTCTTTGGACTGGAGGGGGGGGGAGAGAAAAGGGAGGAAGTGGAAACTTTTAATAATAAAATATTTGAGATTTAGTGCCTTTATAAAAAAAGAACAAAAAGTGATATGCTGATATCTAAGATCTCAGGAGGCAAAGCAGGCAAATCTCTGAGATGGAGGCCAGTCTGGTCTACATAGTGTGTTCCAGGACAGTCAGGGCTATGTGGAAAAAACCCTTTTGGAATCCCCCCCCAAAAAAAAGGCTAAAGAAAGAGATACTTTGAAAATTACATTAGAGGACTTCAAAGTATCAGAGCCAGAGTATCTGTAGACCGTTCCTGAGGGTCAAGTACTATTTCAGACATGACACACATAATAGGTGGATTAGGTACCGAAGTTGTTCAGTCTAGTCATAGCCCGTATCTCCAAAATTCCCCCCTCCACTCCAACTCTAATCTGTCTTAACATATGGCACCACCCACTCATCCACCAAAACCTAGGCTTTGAGAGATAATTTTGGTGTACAAAATTGCCCACTGCTTCATCCCAACTCTTCTAGCTAAAATGTGCCATTCTTCCCAAAGTGTTTGATATATACAATACAAAGTCGCCACACAAGATTTGCGGTTACTATTCTACTTTATTATTTAAAATATATTAGATACACATTAAATATAGCATATCTAAAATATACAAAAATACTGTAAACAGCCATAACCCTCACATCCAAGAACTAAAGGAATTATTCATTATTCAGCTGTGTACTTCTCTGGCCCTTTTTACTCCTCCCCCCACAGGCTATCTATCACTAAGCTTACTTTTGGATTTTCTGTAACTTTGTAAGACTTTAAAGCATATGTAGCTACCACATATATTCTTTGGTCTCACACTTCTGAAAGCAATAAAATTAGGCATTATGCTTTAAGTAGTCACAAGACTGCCCTTATATCGGCAAGTGTGGCTGCAGTTCGCTCACCTTCACTGCACCATGTACCTGAGGGCACCTTAGGAAACCATTCTCCCATGGACAGAACTTCAGTTATCCGTTACTAACATGACTATACCGCCATGGCCAAAACTAAGACATGGTTGAATATGATGAGGAGCTCTGCCCACATTCACTTTGCAGATGTTCCCATCTGTGAGGTGTAACAATTCTCAAGCAGTGACGTGAAGCATGTGTGACTACCTACAGATGGTCTTGCAAATGTTACATACAGAAAGCAGAATCCCACACTTCTCATCACCACAAAACATCTGCTTACCAGCCTCATGAGACAGCTTTCCTATTCTTTTTTCCAAGCAGAAAATTTCTATATATTCTGGTTACTAATCCCTTATTAGTTACTTAAAAAAAAAATGCCCTTCCCTCTCAAAGCAAACACCTCTTCATTCCTCCTAGTTGCACTGGGAGCTGCACTGTCCAATCAGTCCCATCACAAATATTCATTGCAACGAGTCACTGGTCTGGCTCAAGGCCTCTGGCACACCATCACTGGACCCTCACTGACACTTCTCTCAGATATCCTGCTGTCGCCCTGAGTTAAGGAGATCCTGTAGTTATTGTTCTGTAGGACAAGTTCCTTAACACACTCCAGCAGGTCGTAGATGGGGTAAATGCTAGGGTAGACCAACCCAAAGCTCAGAATGTGGGTCTGAGTGGTGGCTAAGCTGTTCAGTTTGGGTCTCTAGGACTGCCCCTCGGGTGAGGTGAAGGATGAACCAGCTCGAGTGCAAGGGTCAGCTCTTCCATGATGGGCAAGGTCAGCTTTCCTGCTGCAACGTCCAACAAGGGACAGAGCCAGCTATCCCAGACAGTGAAAAGCAGACTTGGACCTGTTTGCTTTGTTTTAAATTAATTTTTTTTGGGGGGGGGGAGTTTCTTTTAGGGAAGGAACACTGCAGTGGTGAGGAGTGGATATGGAGATAGAGAGGTGAGTGGGGCTGGGGTGCATGATGTGAAATTCCCAAAGCATCAATAAAGTATTATGTCATTTTTTTTAAAAAAAAAAAAGGTCTTCTCGCTTAAATCATTCATTTGTTTATCTAAAGTCCTTAACTTTTGACAACAATGACTTAAGCCATTTTTACACTAAAGCTTCATGTACTATATCAGACAAGTTCCCTAAACCTTTCTTCATTTACAGAAGCATCTGACCACTTCTGGTCCTTTGCTTGTCTGCTTGTCTTCAACACGACCTCAGCTAGAACTGCTGCTGGAGTCTTGACTTCATAGCTCAATGTGAAAGAATCTGGCATCTGTATAAGCTTTCATTTCTATTCACTGGTCCTGATCTGTGCCTTCCCTGCTGCTCCATCTTTATTCTTCAGGTCCTAAAATATGAGTCAACCAGGGAAGAACCAGTACTTCTACTACCAGTTCAACACGTTTTTGAGCAAACTGTCCTAGAGAGACAGTATGGAGTGACCTTGCAACCTGGTGACTGGGCAGCACCAACCGGTCTTTACTACTGAACACACTGGAGAGCAGATGAGATGCACAGAAGCAAGGTTTGGGATATTCCACTATCAGATGCCTCATGCACTCCTTCAGCTGAGGTCGTAACCGTCCTCTTAGGGAGCAAGAATTAAGGATGGAAGAGCCTGGAGTACTGGACAGAAGAGATCATCCTCCGAAACAAAAGGCTGGGAAAGCAACTAGTAACAGAATTTAAGAATGTAAGCAGGTAGAAGAAAAAACTTCAAGAAAGAAATGGCTGAGAAACGACCATAAATATAAAAGACCAACAAAAGAATTATGTCAAGGGAGGGATATGGGTAAGAATTTGGAGCAGTCAACACTGTCTAAACCAGAGAAGATAACCCCACAGAAAGGCCTCTAGATCTAGTAAGAAGCCATCAGTGGTAAGAGATGAAAAAATACACTCTCCTTAATGTCACTGCATTAAGTGTAAGCAAAAGAAAAATAACTGGTACATGAAAGTCCAAATATTGTGAAAAGATCATGCATGAGAGAAGAAAATCAACTATGGGGAAAAAAAACTGCTACCATGTGTGTTCATTATGAATGGAAGTGAATGGCTCGAAGGAGAAATAATTACCAATAAAACTCTCCCTATTTCCAGCCACTGCTCCATAAAACTAGCCTCTACAGCAGGCAGCAGAGTAAGCAGCAAAATGGAGACAATTCCTTTTTTTTCTTTCCTTCTTCACAAACATGTATTTATGGTGTGGTATGCCACAACCTGTGTGTGGAGGTCAGGAGTCAGTCTCTTCTACCATGTGAGTCTCAGAAATCAAACTCAGGTCAGGTTTGACAGCCTGTACATTTATGCATTAAGTCATCCTGCTGGTGCTATTTCTGTTGTTGAAGACAATCTATTCAACTCAGGACAGCCTGCTACCCATGCCAATCTTCTACCTCAACTTCCCAAATGCTGTGATAACAGGCACAGGGCAGGCACATCTGGCTACAGATAATTCTTAACTGTGAAAAAATAAACATGAAGTGTAAAATCAGTTCACGTCAGAGTCTCAGGTGCCAATGGTGAGGGAACATGCTGGGTGCATCCAATCAAGCACACAAGAGCCCAGTTTAGACTACAGCCTTTACAGTCCAGCTTCTCTGGAATACCTAAAATAAAACTAAGCAGGATGCTTTCAAGCTACCATTTCCATTCCTTAGTAAATATCTACACACCTAAACTTGAAAAAAAGAAGAAGAGGAGGAAGACGACTACAGCATATGTGATGGGTTAGATCAATAAAGACATACTCAGGGAATCCAGCTGAAAGAATAGCAATGAGACAAAAAGACATTAGTAATTCTTCAGATGAAATGCATTAAAACATCTGGAGGTTATTCTTTCTCACAGATGAATACTCCAATGCTAAAGAATATACCTGCTATGGAAATACGTCCTGAAACTAAGTGTACAGACTAATGAGTCCCATTTACACTCTACTACAAGTTAAACACACTTTAAAGAAGATAATTCTTTTCACCTGAGTGATACAGAAAGCGTACACTACTTTGAAAATAAAATTGGAAAGATTACAGATACACAGGATCATCATTACCCAACTGTCATTTTCTTCTATTCACCTCCAATAGACCAGAATGTGTGTTTGGTGTAAATGCCTTGGGGCAACATATGAGGTGTCTAAAAGAAGATGAGTTGATAGTGTGTATAACACATAAGAGGTAGCTTCTCTTCCTCAGTCAGTATAAACTGTAAGTGGGGATCTAATGCCAGAAGGAGATTCCCATACACATTTCCCTACAGTACCTCTTCTTTTGAGCTCTTCTTCTTTTCATGAGGACCTATAGTGCTGAGACTACAGAGCTCTGCAGGACCTCCACTTAGACATCTGTGTGTAACTGAGCTGTCTCTATGCACAATCCTGTTTAAACCTCATCCAACGAGACAGAAATTAAGATCACTGTTCTCATTTTATAGATGAGCAGACAACGCTGGGAAGACTGAGCACTTGGCTTATGTCACATGGAAGTTACACAGCAAAGTTGATGTTGAAGTTTCGTTTTCAGAGCCTAATGCTCTGAACAATATCTTCAGAAATAACAAAGAGCAAGACAGTATAGTATATCCAAAATATATGAATTTGGAGTCAGGTGCTGGCAAAGAACAGCATGGCTTAGCCACCCACAGATTCAGCTCTGCACAAATACCAGGGCTCAGCTGAGAACCTACTCATTCTGAGAACAGCTAGATGTTAAATAATACCCTTGGAAGTCACTTTCTTTCTCTTCCATTTTTCCACTAGTGCAAGGGACCATGAAACTACAAGCATTGAAAATGTGACTGTGCCTAGCTACACCAGAACACCAGGGCAAACAGTTCCAGTATTTCTGTCCGGCAAGCAGTGAGTATGCCTCTGCCAAAGAATTCTACAGTCAGTTAGTTGAACCTCAGAAAATATGGTCTTGCAGGAAAAAAGAGAGGAACATCTTCCTCCCTGTCCAAGTCTACTGTTGAAACACTTAGATTGAAATGTCACATTTCTCTATACATTCCCCTATTCAACTTATTTTCAGGACCTTTTTTAAATGTGAGAAAAACAATAAAAACAAACAAACAACAAAAATCAGGTACAAGTACCCTCCTAGGTCAAAGGCAAAAATGGGGAAAAGCTAGTTGATTTGCTTTGAAATGCAAAAGATGTCTTCTGCTTGCTTCAACTCTAACGACCTAACAACACCACGAGCCTTGGCACCTTGATGCACCTCATTTAAGGTGCCTGAAAAAGTACTTATGTTTTAGGACCCCAGAAGACCTGCTCTATATCATGTGCCACCAACCAGCCTTACAACAATGGCAGTGGGGGAGGCCAGCAGGCACACAGGTGCTTTTGTTGTTATTTCTAAGGCACTCTGGATTGTACTCCCTTGAGGTCAGCAAACATAAAGGTTTTAAAGGCAAAAAAAAAAAAAAAAAAAGGGAAAAAAAAAGAGTGCGACAGAGAAAGAGGTCAGTCTGTATCATATCCCAGAATAGGGCCAAGCCATTTCTCCACCTCGGCCACAGGCATGTCCTTCCTCAAAGCATAATCTTCAATCTGTAAAAGACAGAAGCATCTTGTTAAACCAAAGTGCTAAATCTTTCTGGTCTGAGTTTCCATAGACTTTGGAATAAACATTAAGTACCTGGCGTATCTTGTCTTAACAGTAATCTACTGAGCTAACATATTTCCTGTCTGCCCATCTGTTTTACTCTCTAGGCAGAAAACAAGTGGCAAATGTCGGCTGCTTAGAAACTAATAGGTGTGTGTATGTTTACCATGGATAGAGAGAGAAGGCTGGGAACAGGGTAATGGGCTCAAATCAAATTAAGACACAAACTGGGGTAAGACACAAACACACAACCACCACATCACTTCGTTGTCATATAAAATGGGTCCTTTGGGTCCCTTTTAAAGACAGTTATCTAGAGAAGTCACATGCTTACCTGATCCTTGGAAACTTTGCCCACAGCAAAATATTTGGACTTTACATTGGAGAAGTAGAGGCCTGATACTGCTGAAGCAGGTGCCATCGCCAAGGATTCTGTCAAACTGATGCCTGCAGAGAAGCACAGGAAGCAATCAGTGCCCAGACAGCGTACTAACAGACTGAGTGAGCACCAAGTAAACACATGCCATCTAGGGAGACACAGTGACACAGCAAGAAGCTCCGATCATAGTGTCTAGCAAATTCTTGCCAGGTGGAAAACCAAATTCAGGACACGCATATTATACCCAGTGGGAGCAAGCCTGGAAAAGACTGCATTCCTTCTCCCCAGCTACATGTGATCAGTTGTAGAGGCTCCAATTTGTCTCTACACTGACTATTCTCAGGTAGGACTGCTAGCCCTGGCAGTAAGAGAATCCCCACAGTTCCCCCATGACTCTATAAGGTCAGCGGGTAGCAGGAATGAAGAAGACGACCACAAAAACAGGACTGTTACTCTGCACTACTCACTCTATGGACAAGAACTTGGAATCACCAACGGCTGAATACTTTCTAATCATCTCTAGCTCACTCATAGGAAACCATGCTCACACCTAGATGTTGAGACTCTGAGCCGTTTCTGCAGACCCAAATCCAATGTCACTCTCAGTTCCTTTCTGTGATATGGATTCAACTTCATCAGCTTTAATAGCTAATGATGACTGATTAATTCTACTGGGTTTGTGATTTAACATGAGTCCTCTCAACATCACAAACTATGCAGCAAGGATGGGACAATGCAGCCTCAGAACAATGACTGACTCTGCCCTGAGTCAAGCACAAAGAGGCTATTGTCTCAACAGAGCACAGGTCAACTTCTAATTTTCAACTCTGAGACTCAACCCATAGAGCAAATTTAAGAGGGGATGATGACTGCAGGGGAGTATAAATGTTACTGACAAGTAAAGGAAAGTGAGAGAGCTAAGGGAAGGCTGGGAGCTTGCCAGTTTAGAGCTAGAAACAGCCATCAGCAAGCAGCGCAGGCCTGAGCAGGCAGAAGACACGCTAACAGGACAGAAGCTGGTCACTAGCTATTGTACCAAAACCAGAAAGGCAGGAGGAAGAAAGGAGAACTAGGTCAATCCCCTTCTAGGATATGGCAAGAGTCAACAGTTTAACCTACTAAGTCTAAAATAGTTCAGGAAAAACGCAAGGCTGTACTGTGGAAGTAAATTACCAGAACAGATCCAGTGAGAAAGGATGGGATGAGGGATGATTTCATTCTAAGTTCTCCCATTTTATAAAAACTTTAACTTCATATGCATGCACTCAATGAGCAAGGACAGGAGCTCACTGTCTCCCACATACCTGTGGCCTGCTCAATGTTGGCCAGTCTCCACATGGTGAGCTTCTCAGTATGGTCAGGCTGGCTGGGGTAACCAGGAGCTGGCCGGATGCCCTCATACCGGAGTTTGCGCAAGTCTGTAACATCCAGCTGCTCACTACTGCAGTAAGCCCACAGTTCTCGGCGAACTCTCTCATGGAGCTCCTCTGCAAAGGCCTGGGAACACAGAAGAGAGAGGGGCACAATCAAGCAGAAGCAACCTGTGACCTTCACACAGAACCACTTTCCCCACCTGGTCACAGTCAGGAAAACTGCACTTTCATTAGCTGCCCTGAGACGCAATGGTGTCCTCAACAGAGTTCTGAAGTACCATATTCAGTAATCTAGAATTCTAGGACATTTTCCTGAAGTCAATGGCACCATAGTTTTACCAGAAGAGTACTGGGACCACAGAGCAGCATTCTCTATGGCCTGCTCAAAACAAAGGGGAGACAGGACTTCTCACATTTGGGCCTGCTCACCCCACATGCAGCTACAGAAGTTGCCAACATTAGGAAGGACTCTACAGCAGAAATCTGATTTTAATTCTGGGGGTTATCACAATAATCAAAAGAAGACTAATTCAGAGATAAGGTCAAGTCTCTGGAGGGCAACAACCAACTAGTCAAGCACTGGAGGTTTCTCTTTGCTAAAAGATGGCACTTGAGTGGCATTTGGGAGACACGGGACTTAAAACTACAGGTCATGTTAAAGCCAGCAGCATCTGGCTCAAGTATGCAGTGACATAAAATTCTAAAGGCACGCAGGTTTTCTGACATTGTCATAAAAATTCCTACACCCACACTCTACCTCAGCACCCTGGTATCTGTCAATGCCTTACCTCTGCCAGCCGGTCCCCCAAAGCCTTCACCATGATGCTGCTGTAGTCATCGCCGTCATCCTCGTAGGCTTTACTCAGGTCTTCAACCCCAAAGCAGGCGACAGCAAACAGACCCAAGTAGTCGCGGACACCAGAATGCAGAGGAGCAATGAAGTCTGAGAGGCAGTGGTAGGGGTCTGTACTGGAAGAGTCCTTCTCAGCCTTAAACCCAAGCATTGGCAGAGAAGTCATTAGCATGGCCACGGCATCAGCATATAGTAGAGTACAAAATGACTGTCAGTTTCAGGACACAGAATGCCTGCATGCTTCATTCAGCTCTACCACAGCACTCAAAACGGTGTCTGGCATACCGTGAGTATGCAATAGATCTATGCTAAATAAACAAATGGCTACGGTTTAGTACACACTAAATCACAATAACTCAACATAGCCATGTTGGGCACAGGGGCACTGCAGTATATGACTTTTTGGTTTACACTTCTATGTCGCAGACCATCATTGAGGGACCTAAGGCAGGAAACCAATGCAGGAACCTGTGTGTAGGAACCTGGAGACAGGACTGAATTACTGTCTTTCTTGCAGAATGGGTTGGCTATCACTGGAATTCAGCCCTCCTTTCTCGCTCGCCCATGTGCTTCTCTTCTTCTGACTTTTGCCATGTTACAAGGCAGCACATGGTTCTCACCAGATGTGGCTGCCTGATCTTAGACTTAACAACCAGAACAATGAACCAAAATAAATATTTTTTTTATAAATCTCCAGTCTCAAATATTCCATTATAGCAATAGAAAACAGACATTTTTAAAAAATACATGACATGATGTAGCATATACAATTAGGAAATTAGTTGATTTGCTCATTTACATATAGACTAAACACTTATGAATACCTGTAGGCACTATGCTAGGAATCAGAACCTTAAACAATCATAGGTAGATTAAACATTACTGTTCCAGAGTGTTTTCAGTTCAGATGAGCATGTTTGAGAAGACCCTAATAAAGGTATCAGCTTTCACTGTGCATCAACAGCTAGAGTTTTAACAAACTGCTGAGGTCAAGTGCAAACAGGCCCAGTGTTGTCCACCATGGTTTGTCAGGAGACTTCTGAGAATACGCTAGTATAGTCTAAATACAGAGACTCTGTCCAGGGCCCAGAAATCATAGTTGGAAAAATGCCTGCCCAGAATGCACAAAATTCATGTTTGATCCCCAGTACCACATAAGCCAGGTACAATCTGACAGGTTTGTAATTTCAGCATGCACTGAGATTAAATATTTAGGTTCCTTGATGACACATCAAGTTAGAGGCCAGCCTGGGACACATGAAACCCTGTTGCAAAACTACATACACACACACACACACACACACACACACACACACACACACACACACACACCCCTATTTTTCTCTTTCTGTTTCCCCAACACAGGTGTCCATCTTCCAGTGTTGTACTCTCAGCTGGTAACTGATCCTTCCCTGGTATGAAACTATCAAAGTCTTATACATATCATGGTCAATAAAACGTTAATAACTTATAACTAATACTTCCTAAGTACTTAACACTTTGTTGCTCTTTCTAGGGTGCTAATTTAGCTCTCAGCAATCCAGTGAAGAAAGTGATCCTCAAGCTCCATTTCACAGGCAAGAAATCTGAGACATAAAATTTGACCCCACAGGCTCAGTCAGTGATATGGCTGATCCAGGAGATGACAACAAATGCTTCTAGAGACATGGTACTGCTCTAAACGGATCAATTAATCAAAGAGCAGTCATCCTGAATCTTCTAAGTTATTTGCTAGTCATGAGAGCAAGTATAGTCTGACCCTGGGAAGAAAATAAGCCAGTGGCTGAAGGTCAGAAGGCATAAGTGTTCCAGAGCTCAAAAAGAGGTGAATGAAGGGTCAGTCATTTTCTAGTGGTACTCTACTGTTCTTTGATTTAAAAAAGAAAAGAAAAAAAGCAAGAGAGGGACACAAAGCTACTCTGCAGTAGGACAAGTCACTGGTCCCACTGTGCCTCAGAAAGGATGACAATCAAATATCCTCTGAACAAAAGACTCCGAGGGTAATGAGGTGCTCAGTGACAGTTTCTCAGTGCCCTGCAGATCATCTCCTAATAAATGTATCACAGGTATCCACGGTCCGGCTCTGCTCTCTAGGAGCTACTGAAAGAGTAAACTAAGAATAATGGTGGGAAATGCCCTTATATCACAACACAACAGTATTTAGTTGACTGTGAAGTGAAGTCAGCAGAGGAAAACCAAGGACTGGAGGACGAAAGAAAGAGCCCAGCAGAGGTGTCTGGCCTTATACCAGTCAAAGATGAGCTCATGATTCCCCAGCGAGGAAGGGCCAGAGCTCAGCACTGGAACTCCCTGCTCTGTATCCTGTGGTGTCTAGGCCTGAGCACACAGAGTAAGGCTGAAATTGTTCTCACATAACCCCTTATGGTATCAAGGCTCAAATTTAAGAATCCCATCCATAGTTACTATTAAAACCCTGTCATTATGATTTGTATTATGATAAAGGCAACCCTACCAATTTTTAATCACTAAAAATATGAGTAAAACCAAAGAAAGTAACTTACTGCTAATTATTAAATTCTAGCTCCAAATCTTCATTGAGACAGTTGTGTCTATAGCAGCTAAAGTCTTTGCATGGTTCCTGCCATTTTTAAAGGTGAGGCAAAGACGAAATACAGACGGTGTACACTGGGAACTGCTACAAGGAGAAAATAGCTGGGCTGTACTCAAGGGGGCTTGCGCTTGCCTCTCTGCACACAAAGCTCAGCGCCAGCTCTCTCTGCCCATTTTTTTTCTCCTCTGAGAAACAGTTAACTACGGTTATCTTAGTCCCTCTTCAGCACCTGGCAGGGTGGACATTCTGGGGTATTTGTAACCAACAGATTTCCCTTTGAGACAATAAGCCACATAACAGTCTCTAATAGAATACTCAAACGAAAAGCAATTGTTAGGGAAAGTAAAATGCCCCTCGTTTCATGAGATACGGGGTTGAAAGACTGAAAACACAAGTGTATGATAGCTAGGCTAGCAGCACTGTTCCGTATCTATCTGTAGTCATTACAATGAACCCCTACAGGACCTCATGGACACCCATGCTTCTCTCCATTCTCACAAATGCTTAGGACTCAGGCCTATGGAGGGCTGTCTGGGATGAAATGGTACAGATAAAAGGCTCAGATTTCTTATTTAATTCTCACTTACTACACTTAGTATAGTAGCTAAGCCTGAGAGTCAAAGCAGTGCACTCATCGTTCATACACATTTCATACCTGCTGCCTCAGCCCATAGAAGGTGGCTATGGGCTCCGAAGTCTGGGGCACCACACCCTCTGCATACAAGTGGATGTCATCCTGGACACTCTGTGCTGGCCAGAATCCAACCACACCCCTGGCCTGGAGTTTCTTTTGACTTATCAGTATGTTCAGCATATTCTGAGCATCATCATATACCTTTCTGGCTTCTTTGCCTATTAAAAAATACAAGAATTTATTTAAAGATGCCAACAGTAACCACCAAGCAACCATTCTTTTTTAAACACTGCTGCTTCTCCCTTCTCTACCCTCTTCTGCATTCTCACAAAGACTCTCAAGTTTGCCAAGGGCACAGTCTGGAGCAGAGTACACAGTGGCTAGTGGACCCAAGAAATGAATCCCCACAGTGTGCCTCCTCTAAGTCAATCTGTTTATATTTTCCCATTTAGTAGAATCCAGAGAATGAAATCAATGGCATCCAAAACAGTCTTGTCAGAAAGAGGGCATGAACGGCATTCCAATATAACCCCATTATATATTTTCACAGTAATATATGGGGAGGAAACAGGGTGAGCTGGGACGCATGGCCCAGATTCTCTTAAATGGCATTGGTACTATATCTGAATAACTTCAGCACTTGCATGGTAGGCACCAGACCTGTTCTGGGACACCTTCCATCAGTTCCCATTAGCTCTCAGGGGGCAACACTGTGCTGCCCTACCTGTATGAAGGGCAGTTCCATAGTCCTTCATGACTAGCTGTGGTGGCACAAGGACAGTACAGAAAGAAGTCCCTTACCTAATCCTGGATACCAGTAAGTACTTGAGTCTCAGCATCCTAACATGCCCGGGACCTCCAAAAGCTGATGGGTATCTGGATTCCCTGGCTCTCTCCAGCCCGGTCCTCACTGTTTACCAGTACTCCTTCTCCCATGTCTCTAGGTGTTGGGTGGGGGTGAAGCTACCCAAGACAAGTGAGGGGAGCAATTCAGTGATTAAGTCACTTCTCTACTCTATCATGCCAAGTCTCCTTCCTTCCCTGAATGTTCTGGGTACAACGTGATATGCAGTTCCCCATATAGCACCCATGGCCAAGGCTTCATTCTCCCTGGTTTGACATGTTCCTTTTTATTTCTGCTTCCTATCTATCCCTAGGTTCAGTCTCAGCAATTCCCATGGAATCTTCTATAACAGTACCACCACCTCCAGGAAGCCCACTCTAATCTGCTGGAGCTCTAGCCCCACTGATGTGAGTGGGATTCCAGGCTGAGCCCACAGCAAGAGCCCAGCAAAAACCCAGCACTGTCAGCCGTGCCGGTGAGCCAGTACTCAGTCACAGGATTCTCGCCTTTTTGTCTGCCTGTGCCAAGCAGACACCAGTGTGTAGTGATGTCAGGGAGTCCACTTGAAGACTGAGTGAATAAAAGGCCACATTTACCTGACGTAATAAGGGCAAGCAAACAATTAAATGTTCCTGTGAAGGCTGAGTGGGGGAGCAATATAGCAGCGGCTATATCCTGTGTAAACTAAACACTTAGTGCGTCCTCTCAGACCACCTTGAGAGTCACATACCACACCCTGAAGGCCAAGCAGGAAGGACTTACTAACCTACTGTTTTGTCGTTAAATATCTTGGGGAAGCCTCTATTCGGGTACTTGCCCCGGAGCTGCCAGACATCAAAGAAAGGCTTCCAGTCAATGTAGTCCACCAGCGTTTGCAGGTTGTAGTCTTCAAAGACCTGGGTCCCAAGAAATGTGGGCTTCACTAGAGCAAAGAGGCACAGCTGTCAATGCCACACCAGCTGAGAGAGCACTCACAAGGATATACACTGAAGTGTCCTTCCCTGCTCCTCACTGTGCAGCTTACTCCCACACCTGTCTCCTTCCTGTCGCCCCATAGGAGTTCTTACCAAGAGCAGAACTTTAAATTATCATGGAGAAGGAACTTCCCCATGCAGCTGACTGACTACCCCTTGCTGGAAATTCTTCCTTCAACCCTTTCATCCCCACCATGTCTAAGAAAAAAAGGAAGCCTTTTGTTCACTTCCATGCATCGGATGATGGCAGTGTTAAGAAATTATTGCAGAAGGGCATGTGCAGCACACTTCTTATATGAAGTGTACAAACATGTGTGTGCGCGCACACACACACACACACACACACACACACACAGTGTGAGGGCATATAGAGAAATGAAATCCCAAACTCCAAACTGTGGCTATTTCTACAAGGAGAGGGACAAATACAGGACTGCCACTATGGATGAATATCTGATCTTTTAAAAGATTAAGTTTTTTTCTTAGATTGAGTAATGAAAATACACAGGTGTTCAAAAATTGTTCTCTGCATCTCAAGTCTGAAACATATGATAATATATATAATTCTAGGGACTCTATAGGCAGACTGCGCTTCAGACATTTCAGGACCAATGACACATGGACACCAAGGACACAATGCCACATGGATACTGGGCCAGAGGCCAAGGGGCCAGTACTACTGCCAACTCTGAGTGACCATGCTTCCCTGTGATTAGGGATCTGAGGACGTGCTGTTCCACTGTTAGTAGCTGCCCTAAAGAACATGGGCCTCTCAGGAAGAAAGGGCAGAGCAGAGGAGCTCTTAACTAAGCTGGACTCTCTGCCTTCCTGCACCACATTGGCTCTGCCCCATCTGCTTTGTCATCTTCCTACCATTCTTAGGGCTGCTCCTGCTTTGTAACCACTATTGTGTGGGTTCGCCTGTCAATAAAGTCTGCATGGAGACTTAAGAGAGACCACTGACACTGACACCAAAGAGGTCTCTCGCTAGGAGGCAGACAGTGACCTGCAGCTGTGGAGTTGGGGCTGATGGTGGGGCTGCTCTTGACCAAGTTTCATGCTAAAGTTCCAAGGATGTTTCAAGCTCTACTTCCCTAGGTCCAGAAAGAAGGCCCTGATTTCTTAGTGGCTTCACTTCATACAGCTCCCTGAAGATAGCTGAGCTAGTCTTAAAATTCAAAAGCCATACCTTGGGACCCCATATCCCTTAGACAGCAGGGCAGAGCCTAGCAATGCCATCATATGTGGGTTAAATTGGCAATCCAGGAAGTATCTCCACCACTACCAGGCATCGTGGGCCTTCTCAGGGTCATTTCTAGCAAATTATTTGGTGTATGACTTGTCCTGGTGCCTCTAGACCAATTTCAGAGTAAAAGATAAACAGTGAAAACCACAGCATGCGCTTTGCTGTAGTGGTTTCTATTTCTTCAAAGGTTTTCACATTAGTATCTTATTTTACCTTTCAATATTTCCATAAAGTAATCCCCCTTTAGACATCAGCACCTGTCAAATGTAGGAGACAGACACTCAAGGTCACACAGTGACTCAGAGCCAGGAGTCAAGCAGGGATGAACACTCGGGCCTTCCAGCTCCCAATTTGGCACTCTTTCCACTAAACCACACTGAACCCAGCAGGAATGAAATTAGAACTGAGCGCACCTACATTTCCAATTTAATCCTCTCAGCCCTGCTGAGCATGTGTAGAACACAGATGTCATAAGCACTGAAAGCTGGTTTCAGACATTACCTGGAAAATTTGGATTCCGTTAACAGAACCCCCCTTCACCCTGTCTCAGTTCTGCACTTGTACCTTGTGTCTCTCTGAGCCTGTCAAAATATCTTACGCATATTATTTCCTTGTGAGTACCTCTGTGAGGTAAGAAAGGTAGCTAGAAACAAAACGGGAAGAAACAACATAAGAGAAATGAAAAGGAAAGCATCCAGAAACAGAAAAAGGATCCAGCTTTGCTGCAGTTTTCAAGACCTGTGAGTGCAGTTATTTTATATTTCAGACCTTCCAAGGGAATCCTTTGGCCTGCATGAACTCAGGTCAGCCGAGAAGCAGCACAACACAGAGAAGCACTGACGCTACAGCAGACAAAGCTAATGGTAGAAGCTTGACAACCATTCAAGTTATTGTCTGAAATTAGAGTTTCTTCAATTAAAATGGAGACAATAAACATGCTTGTTTGAGAGTCATCCAAAGGACCCAGTAAGCCATGGTGACTCCACCTCACCACAGTTTGTGGCACTCAGCAGGTCTTCCTATCTACTTTCTTTTCAGTTAGGGTGACTCATTCCTACACACGAGTGAGAACTGCTCACATGCCGGTTCATTTGTTGCTGAGCAACTGCAAACATTCCTGGAAATTGTCAGTTATAACACTTAGCTGTCTCCAGCAACAGCCACAGACCTGGGTGGGGTTCAGACAGCCAATCGATGTGGAAGCCATTTTTTCTGGCTTGAGTTAGGGATAAGTATTTTCTCTCCTGTTGAAGAAAATAGTAATTTAGTCAGAACCTCTTAGCTTTTCTATCTCTACAATGAAAACATTGCCAAAAAAGTTTTGCAAACAAAACAAACAAGTGAATAAAATCAAATGCTTCTAAAGGATAATCCTTATTCTTTCCCAACCAACATGGCTTCATGCTGCCACCAGAATAGAATAGTAAAGAGTGTCCCATGTTCACTGTGGTTCTAAGACTGACCCTGTAGCCTTCATCACCTTTTTCAGGACACATGAACTTGGAGTTAACTACCCTGAGCACCAGAGCAGGGTAGACCCAAGGAACTGTCAACTATAGGCAAACAGAAGAATGGAAGAGGCCATCAGCAGAACCTATGGCTCTCAAGCACCTGAGAAGAACATCAATTGTTTATTCCCTCATTCACATTCCTAGCAACTCTCTTAATGCCCCACACAAAAATGGAAGGCCGACAAACATGAAAACTATCCTATAGAGTTCCTGAAGCCTAGAGGGAACCGTTCCAGGAACATGATTATGAACAGCAGGCAAGGTCAGGCCAATAACCAGGAGAAGCTAAAGAATTTTCTTCCATTTTTCCCTCAAGAGTGAATCTGAGAATACCACTTTGGAATGGTTTAGCTCATATTTTTAGGATGTCATGAGCCCCTGTTTTACTCTTTCTCATAGCCCTAGTGCCTGGCATACAGCCTGATATCTAACGAGGATCCAGAATGTTTGGATCAATACAGTTTAAAAAAAAAATCCTAAGTGTTTTGAGACATAGTCTTGCTAAGTAGCCCAGGCTGGCTTTAAACTTATGATCTTTTTACCCCCATCTAAGTGCTGGGACTATAGGCATGCAGGTCCATGCCCTACTTACAATTCATTATAGCATTTTAAAAATCAGGATACCAAAGAACTCAGATTTACACTAGGAAATAGGTCTCTCTCAAAATAGTCAGTAAAACCCATGAAAAATCACGGATTACTCTGATCTGAAACAAGCCAAGACCTGCTTTTAATCACTTACCTTGAGAGACTCATAATGATCCTGTCTAATATCTTCATACTCTTCCTGTATTTCTTCAATGTAGTCATCTTTCAGATTTTCATCTAACAGCTGAGAACACTGAAATGCAAGATAAAGTTCAACAACTATAAGGCACTAAAGGACGATAAACTCCACTGAGGCTGGTGAGATGGCTCAGAAGATGAAGATGCTTGCTGCCAGTCTAACAGCCTGACTCTAATCCCTAGGGTCATGGTAGAAGAAGAGAACCAATTCCCACAGTTGTCTCTGACCTCCAGACACAGACTGTGGCTCCAGCACCACCACCACCCCACAATAACACCTTACGATACACTCAACTCGGTGTAATACAGTAATACTGGTTACTGGATACATTCCACATAAATAAATACACAGATGTAAAATGTTTCCTTTCAGAAGACAACATAGAAACCGAGATCAGTGTCATTCAGTCTGCATGACGTTGCTAGAGCCAGATCACCAGGCCCTTGAGTAGATTTCTTCCCCAACAGAAATCCCTGGAGTTGTTAAACTATGCTTTCATTGAAAATATGAATGGGATCGTGGACGGAAGGGGGCTGCTTAGCTCTTTTCTATCTTACACTGAGTTTCTAAACAAATAATTTGGAAACTGAAGGACCCTGTGGTCTCTCAGATTTCCCCCAGCTGTTGTAGCCTATTATTCAGCAAACACATGAGAATGACAATCAGGATTCACTAGAGGACACGGAGAGGGAAAGACTGAGGAACTACCTATTACTCTGGGTTTTGAATATCTGGTGACTGCTTTCTAATTGAGTCAGTTGGCCCTATTAAGCATTTTTTACATCTGGAACAAGGTCATTTTAAAAATCCTACATTCCATTTAATTCTAGCACTAGTCAAAGAAATTTACTCATATTTGTAAATTAAAGGCATCTATCAATCTGGTGAGGTATCCAAGTGCAAGGCATCTTGGTGCCATCCTTCAGTTCTTGCTCAGTTCTGCCAGCATTCCTGAAAGCACAATACATGCTAACAGGGCTTACCCCCAGCAAGGCAGCACTGCAGTGGCATGCCATGGACTTTCCGACGTCATTTCACCTGCTCTGCGCTTTCACATTTCTTCAGTAGAACTTGCTAAAACAAAGTGGACCTTGGGTGATACCTTAGCTCTTAACGCTTTCTTTGTTCCCTCTTTACAACTCATTTAGAATAAAAGGAAGGTCCCACACTCACCACCACCACACTCTTGGATGCATCTAGGACATGGATTACAGGCGCGCTGTACCGTGGAGCTATTTTAACTGCTGTGTGGGTTCTGAAATAAGGGTCAAGAAGAAAAGTCCATCAGTGCTGAGAGCTCCTTGCTCAGACAACTCGTATTAGAATCATTACAGATAATGTTTCTACAGTATTTCCAAGAGAAAGGCTTCAAGGTACTTACTTACAAATACTGAACTTCAAATTTCCCTTATCAACCAAGAATGACTTTTTCCCACCCTGAGACGGGAAAACAAGGTAAAATGACATGAACTGATAGGCCCTGACTCCAAGGGAGTCTGACAAAATGAGAAAGCTTTGTTCTTAGCTATCTGCCAACAAGGAATGAGTTCCAGTTCAGGCACTCAGCACAGCCTGCTAGAGCCGAGGGAGGAACCAGTCCCTGGCAGCCACACCCTACTGTAGTCAAGGTCAACTTCCTCCCTCCAAAGGAGCTGGGAGAAGAGCCAGCACCCCAGGGAAGCAGGAAGCAGGCAGAAGACACAGACACAGATCTGACCCCTGCTTCCTCTTTGAGAAGTCATCTACCTCTGGCCTCAACACCACCTTATACTTGTAAAAAGAAATCCCGGACCTGAAATGCAACAGAAAACAAACCAGAAAGAGACCAGGGATACAGCTGAGTGGTATAACTCCTGCTACAGTTCAGAAAGCCCTAGGTTCAATCAACCCCTAACATCACAAAACTGAATCAACTAATTAAAACAAAGCAAGAATTAACTATTTCATACTAAGATTTGCTCAGCCTCAAGTTTCTATTGTCAAACTTTAACTTTAAAGGAAGAATCTTCAATTCTTTTTTTTTTAATTTTTAAAAAATGTGGAATGCCTCACGAATTTGCACGTCATCCTTGCGCAGGGGCCATGTTAATGTATTGTTCCAATTTTAGTAGTTGTGCTGCCGAAGTGAGCACAGAATCTTCAATTCTTAAATATCACATTTGACATGTCAGTAAGCAGCTCCCTTTCATGGCTTCTACACCAGCTCCTGCCCTATTTGAGTTCCTGTGCTGACTTCCTTTGGTGATGAGCAACAATGTGGAAGTATAGCTGAATAAGCTCTTTCCTCCCCAGCTTGCTTTTTGGTCATGATGTTTCACCACAGCAATAGAAATCCTAACTAAAATAATAACAATTGATTATACATTAAATTTAACAACTGACGGTATACCCAGTCAAGTTCTGCCCATAACAAGCCAGATTTCCATAAGTTCCCATATGTGATACCACATTGATCCTTCTGCAGATAGAACAACAGTTGGTTTTTCTCTTTTACAAATACAGGTTTAAAAGGGACACTCCAAGTATATTCTCGCCCCCCATCTCTGACCCCTAACTTTTAGCCTTTCTAAACACCCTCAAATGTCTAGGAACACAAGTCTGGTTCACATTGCCACTGGAAAAGTCACAGCTTATATCCTCAGAAATTTGTCTCATAAAACCATACAAGTCCTGAGCTGTCATCTGGCAAAGGGAAGAATTAGGCACCTCTGAACCCTCAATCATCAGAAAAGAAGCAACCAATGGACTGAGGAGGGCTTTTTTCTTTGGTAGCTCTTATAAGAAAATGGACCATGTAGTCAACTTTAAATCATCACAAGTAATAAATTCCTGATCTTAACGAATATAAAATATTTTAATTATGAATCCAGCATCCCAGGTGCCATAACTCCTAATGTAGAGATTTAATATGTTACATAATCACAACTTTCAAGTCTCTTTTTTGGCAACAGTCCATAGATCCTCTTGCCACTCTCCACACTAGGCCAAAGACCAGGTCAAGTTCATAAAGCCCAAGTTATCTACCAGGCCTGGTGGTACAGACCTATAATCAGAGCTACTTAGAAACTGAGACAAAACACTGCAAATTCCAGACAAGCCTGGGCTAGCATGAGTTCAAGACTAGGTTTAGTGTGAACCTGTCTCAAAAGTAAAAAGTAAAAGATTTTAAGTAAAATGGGTGCTGGTCAGTGATAAAGGTTTTACCTAGTATGTACAAGTACTAGGTACAAATCCCAGTACAGAAAGAAAACAAACACACACACAAATAAATCCTCTTATCAGTGATCAGTCAGATCCCTTAAAAATAATTCTGCCACTTGGCTAATAAGTCAGTCAGTGGGAAACAAATCCAATTTTCTAGTCAAATTATTTCAATAAAAAGTAATTAATGAATAACGATGTAAACATTTTGCTACTTGTGAAAACTCTCCGTTCACATTAAGTAATATGACGGTTAATTCTATGTGTGAGATTGGGTGTGCCACGCAACTCAGTTTTTGGTCACACTGCATGCAGTCCAAATGTTGCTATGAGGATATTTTTTAGAAGCAATAAATATTTAAACCTGTAAACTCAGTAGATTATTCTTCATAATGTGGGTTAACCTCATTAATCAGCTAAAAACCTTCAGAAAAACATTAAGCAGTCTCATTAACCCCCTGCTTTTTGTACAAAGAACTTCTGCCTGAAGACTGCCCTGAGTCTCCAGACTACACATTCCAGATCTTCTAGCCACAGTCTCATGAGCCAACTCCTCACAAGAAATCTCTCACTCTCTGATGAACTCTTGAAATACCTATGACACACTATTATGTCACTTTTGCACTAGAAAAAAAAAACCCACACATTGTGGGACCACCAATTTCAACGCTCCAGCTTGACGTTATCCCCTGCTAACCATCAAATATCTGTGATGCTGCAACAGTGTCTCTCGCCATGGCCATGATCTCAGGAAGAATTTAAACCAAACACTGCCCATGTGACTCAATGTGAACATTCTTTTTATGCCTTTTATCCTAAAGTTTTCCCCAAAGTCCTCCTGTCAGAACAATTCCTCAGGCTGGGCGGTGGTGGTGCACGTCTTTACTCCCAGCACTTGGAAGGCAGAGACAGGCGGATCTCTGTGAGTTCGAGGCCAGCCTGGTTTATAAGAGCTAGTTTCAGGATAGGCTCCAGAGCTACAGACAAACCCTATCTCCAAAAAAGAAAACAAAAAACAAACAAACAAATAAAAGAAACAATTCCTCCAACTGACTTCGTAGCTCATTTTCATCTATTACAACGTCAGAGTATCTTCATGGGAATTTATAATTACTCAGCCAGAAGATTCCTGCTTGAACCGAGTAGGCAGAAGTTCAAGCAACATCTTTCTGAAAAAACAAAACAAAACACCTCAGTTTTGCTATTAGTCTGATTTTAAGAGGGTTAAGAGTATATTATAATTCTTAGGAGCTGCCTGGCAGACAGAGGATTAAGAAAATAGCAACAAGTCAAAAGGATCCACAACAGGGCACAGGGAAGGATTCACAAGGGAGTTTTGCAGAGTGCGCTCTAGAAGCTTTCTAACTCTTCCCCAGAGAAAGAATGGAAAGCCGTGCAACAGAAGACAGCAAAGCAAAGGAAAGAATAGCAGACTTCCCCAGTCATAAACACTGGCATTTAAGAGAACGCAAGGTAAGATGAAGCTCATCTTGCCGACTTACCTTGAAGTTGTTGCTCCTCCTATCAACAATGGAATATTTATAGCCAACCTCTCCATTTCCTTAGCAACAAAAATCATTTCATCCAGGGATGGAGTGATGAGTCCTGATAAGCCAATTATATCTATTGTCAAAAAAGAAAGAAGAGAAAAGAAAAGAAAGACCAGTGAGAATGAAAAAAGAGAGAAAAAAAGACCACTTTAAAAAATTTTGTACTGATCAGAAAACCTAACATGTTAATTTCTAATTCTAGGAATTTAGTATTTGCTTTGGGTAATAAGAAATGGAACCCTGTCTCAAAACAAAACAAAACAAACAAAAAAAGAAATGGAACATAAATTTGCAGCAACATATTTGTAACAGATTTAAGATGCCACGCAATAAAAATTATTCTAGTTCATAATAATTTCAGACTTGACCATAAAAACAACTACATACAATGGAAAAAAAATCCACCTCCACTGCTTTCCTCTAAGAAGACAGTCCACTGAACCCCTAGAACTCAGGAAGTCATGGACACTCACACACCTCTTTCAAGTCTCAACAGACTACACTGGAGCTGGCTGCCTGGGTGTCCCTCAGACCCCCACATGGGCTGGGTTTTGCCATTCTCCAACAGACTCTCTGAGTAATGCTGATGCCTACACCCAGCAGACTATGGCACATACCTGCTTTGTGGTCAAGAGCTGCTTGAAGTATCTTATCACAGGGAGTCATGACTCCTAAATCAATAACTCTGAGGCAAGAAATGAGACGTCAGAAAATTAACAAGAGCCCAAAAGAAACAAAGTTGAAATGAACATTTTAATTTTAGCCACTAAATGCTGCTCTAACGTAAACTGGAACCACAGTATCAGAAGTTATTCACATTAGTTTTGTTTTGCTTTGTTTTTTCCAGAGCTGAGGACCAAACCCAGGGCCTTGTGCTCTACAACTGAACTAAATCCCTATTCCCCACATTAGTTTTTGAAAGAATAATATTCTATAGTATGAATGTACTACATACTACAGTATCAATCTGAAATGTACCCCTAAGGCCAGTATTTTGAAGGCTTATTTCCCAGCTTGACATTTTTATTTTTATTCTTGTGCTTCTGAAGCACGATCCCTGTGCTTTCCTTGCTCTTTTTTACACCCCTGATATCAACGCTTGAACATGACACTTCTCACCATGATAGGCTGTGTTACCACAGGGCCAACAAGGGGCTGACATCTACTACAGTGTCACAGTGCTGACAGACACAGTGCACTCTCCTACCCATTCATCTACTAATAGACACCTGGGTTGCTTCACTACATTGTGATTGCTGAGTGCCAATCTAAACCCTCACCTCAACTCTGTGTCACAAGTACTACTCCACAGCCATTTTAATGGAAAGGGATCATATAAGACAAGGTCCCAACACTCAATTAGTTGGCAGTAGAGTTGGAATATGAATCAGAATTGGGATAAATCCCACTACCGTATCTATTCAGACCAAAAAGGGTGCTGGTAGGAGGCAGCAGAGAGGACGAGCAGGAGGAGAGCAGTCCCTGCACATGCAGAGCAGCTGTCGGGCAGAGCTCGTACTTAAGGTGAGGAAGGAAGAGAGTGACTCAGACGTCAGCAGGTCTCAAACAGAAAGACAACTCCGGTGGGCACACATGAATTGTAGGACAAGCACCGAGGCAAAAAGCAAATCTAGGGAAATGGTTCAGCAGTTTAAAAGCCCGCTACTCTTACAGAGGATCATAGTCCAAATCCCAGCACCCATATTAGGTGACTCACAACCTCCTGTAACTCCAGCTCAAGGCAATCAGATGCCCTCTTCTGGTCTCCAAGTCATACAAATACATATACCTAAGTTAAAACGGGGGGTGGAGGGTAGAATAATGTCAAAGAATTTCAGAGAGGTTTACAACCTGGAACTTGTAGAAACTAGGTACGCTCTGGAGATGTTCTACCTATTAGTCTTACATGCTATGTTGAGAAAGTTCCCATTGTGTATATTTTTTTTTCACTTAACCTTATCATATCGTTAGTGATTTAAAAACTAAAGCATGTATTTGTGTTTATTTTATTGTCAGAAATTCTTAAAAACAAACTATAATTGACAGGTATGGCAGTACATCCTAGAACTCAGAAGGGTGAGGCAAGAGGATTGCCATGAATTGGAAGTAGCCTGAGCTGTATCTAGCAAGTTCCAGGATAGCCTAGGCTATACAGTGAAACTCTGGTTTTAAACAAAGCAGAAAAATGCTTTCGTGTATGTGTGTGTGTGTGTGTGTGTGTGTTCACTTAAGAACATCTCTAGAACATAATATCAACTATCAGTAGTGAGTGCTGAACACAGATGTAGGAAGTACGCTTGTTTACCATTCTTACTACAACCCCTCTTATACCGATGGGTTGGTATCTTGTCTCTATATTCTTTTTTAGATGAGGTTTGTTTGTTTTGTTTTTAATTAACCAACACTATGAAATCTTCAACAAAAAGTGAGACAATTTCAAGTTGATCACAAGTACACTGGGCTCTGTTAGTACTGACCAACAGCAGAGATGCTGGAGGTGGTGTCTGATAACCCCTCAGGTTACTGTTGTTTTTGAATGTACTGAAGAAAATCTAGTAACTAAAGAGCTTTTGTTTAAGATGACTAATAAACAATGCTAAATATGAAACTAGGCATAGGAGCAAATAGCTTTTAAATCAAGACAAGAAAGTATGCACCACGAAACTGATTCTTTGCAACACTGTACTATGGGTTTGACATTTTCTAGCCTGAACTGTCTCTCCAGTCCTATATTATGTTTTTAAATCTGATTAAAAATCATCAGAATAATGACAATTATCTTGCTCTCATTCTTTTCTTCTGTTTTATCTTGTTATCTTCAGGTACATCTTACATGCATGAGGAAAATCCAGGTGACTGTTGTGGTTGAACAGAGAAAGAAAGGGGGGGGGCAGTGGGGCAAAGGACAGAGACTATAGACCACACACCCAAAGCAGCAGAGGAATTTCTCAAACCCAGGGTTAAGAGCCACCATCACACAATGGAACCCACTCTTTTTTCAACTGAACCCAACTGGAAACTGAGCTATGCTTCTCAGAGACTGTGATTTCACTGGCAGAACAGGATCCCGACAACTCTCAGATCACACCCTGAAAAAAATCCTTGTAGACCAGAGCAATCACACCCTGAAAAACCACCTTCTAGACCACAGCAATGACTATGAGTCTCTCTAAGAGAAGTCACTGCAGGGGCTGAATTGAAAAGTAAGACTGGTTCCAGTCAAACAGATTCACTTGAACCAGAAAAGCCCAGAGAAAAAGCAGAGAGTGGTTAGTTTGCTACACAAACCAAGACATCAAGTAAGAATGGTATGGCCCAGTATAGAAGCAGTTATGGGTGGTGAGTTGGTATTACCTTGAAAACATTATATTACACGAAGCTGGGGAGAAGAGAAGCCAGGAACACCCAGAAGTTTCATATAAGCAGTGTTTTGAAAGGGGTTGAGTTAGGGAGAGGTGTTCTTAAAACGACAGCAACTAATTCCATTTTCAAAATATCAGTTTGCTATTTCAATCCAAATGGAGCCCTTTAAGCAGTACATCTGGAGTCTGGGAAATATATCCACATGAAGATAACAGGCTTTATCAGAGTCAAGACACTGGATAGATGATAAGGCTGGGCCTACCCTGGACCTTACTACTTGGGGATTCCTATACTGTAGCACCAACGCTACCACACAGCTCCCTAGAAATGCTGAACTTGAGCCCAAACCTACCCTACACCAGACCTGAGTCTCCAAGAAACAGAAAGGTTAAGAAGCACCATCCTAGACAGAGGAGAAGCCCAAGGTCCAAGCCTGGAGCCATTCTTGTGTCTGAGGATGCTCAGAAAAGAAGGAACCAGAAGAAGAGTGACGAGTACTGGTCAGTGAGGCAGACTGAGAGCAATGTTAACCTGTAACTTCTTAACCTGCCATCAAGAAGTCTTGCTGGGAAATGACTGAATACCCTACTGGAGTAGTTCCAATTTCTGCACACAGAAAGCTTAGGGCCTCACAGTGGCAGTCACTCCCAGCCTGGGTACCAACCAAGCACTGGGGCTGTCCCAGGGCATCTCCAAGGGCACCAATAAATTTCTTAGCATATTCGAGAAACAGAAGCTCTGAATTAGACTCCTGCATGACAAGGGCTCCAGTGGAGGCGTTTCTAGTGTGCATGGAGACCATTAAAGCCAAACAACAACTAGAAGCCTCTCAGATGACACTGGAGCTAAATTTTGAAAAATAAAATTAGTATTACCAGCCAGATGTAGGGAAGAAAGGGCGGCCTAGGCTGATTCTAGACCATGATGATCAGCTAAAACTCCACGAGCTTCCTAGGGCCTAGCGGGGGTATGACCAGGTCCACACATCTGCCATTCCCTCTCACCTCTCCTAGGACTTCCTCCCATTCACCCACTTTCTTTACTATTCCTTGCTCACTATTCCCTAGGTCTGTGGGTCTCCGCTAGGTACAATATTGCTTTCTGCCACAGTAAAGACTAAAAAGAAAGAAAAATGAAAATTTACTTAAGTCTGGTGGTACAAATCTACAGTCCCAGCACTTGGGAGGCTAAAAATAGCAAGAACTCAAGTTCAAGGCCACTCTGGACTACACAGTAAGACCCCACCTGAAAAGAAAGCAAAGTGGAAAGGAAGGAATAAAGTGGAAAAGAAAGTTGTGAAAAATGTTACTTTTATAATGTTCTTCCTTAGTGTTTAGAACAGAGCACTAAAAGCTGGTAAGATGGCTCAGTGGGTAAAGATTATTTGCCACTAAGCCTGACATCCTAAGTTCAATACCTGGAACTCACATGGTAGACAAAACCAACTCCCCAAAAGTTGTTACTTGACTTCCACATGTGTATAGGCACACACACACATGCACGGCACACACACATATGTACACACACATAATTTTAAAGGAATTTTTCAAAAGAACTTTAAGTATATATTGTACTTGGGATTCAAATTCAGAAAAAATATAAGCTACAAAACAAGTAGCTTATATGGTATCGAATAATATTTTAAATTACATAGAATTTATAAAGTAGACAAAAATAGCTCTTTTCCTCTTCAGAAGAAATCACAAAGGAAAAGTAAAATTGTACATATAAAGCCAAGATGACTTAAGCCTCCGCCTATGGAAAAATGGGTAAAGAAAATGCATACATGGAATGAACTAATACTCAGCCATAAAAAAAATGGAATTCCATCATTTGCAGAAAATAGATGGAGCTGATGGACACTGTGCTAAGTCAAACAATCCAGACATAGAAATATGATCTGTCTCACGTGAAGAAACTTAAAAGTTGACTAACATACAAGAAAGTTGAAAAGAAATTACCAAAGGCTACACAGGTGAGGAAAGCGGAGGACACAGAGCTGGACAGCAGGCTGAACTACAAGTTCACCAGGAGAAGAGTTCTCATGCTCCACAGCAGTGCGCAACAGCCTACTGCACATTACAAAGAACTAAGATAGAAGAGCGAACTCTCCACTTCAGTAAGGATATATAAGGAGACAAATGCCTGCTCAATATACATTGTATACATGGGTTTAATGTCGTAATTTAGGAATATGCATCCCTTGTTAATTAAAAATAGGAAAGAGAGATAGAGGACAGAAGGGAGGGGGCACAAATGAAAGAAAACCCAACTGTACTAAACTGCAGTTCCTCTTTCAAGAACCTGTCAGTTCAGAACCGCTGCTGCCCTTGCAATTCACACATCCTACCACTAGGTTTGGTAGGAAGCACCCTACCAATCCAGCACCTAGCTGTGAATTTCTTTCTTTTTTTTTTTTTAAGCAGTACTCACAGAGCCTACTGCTGTTGCTTTTTTTTTTCCCTCCTCACCCCCCCTCCCCCACCCCATCCCAAATCTGGATCATCTGAAGTACTAGATCTGGGCTATACCTTCTGGTGGAAGCACACATAAAAGGACCTAGAAGGAAGCTTTTCTGTCTGTCTACCTGTCTCGGCTGGTCTGGAACTCACTGTTGATTCACCCACTTCTTTTGGGGGGTGAGGGACTCAAGAGAGGGTTTCTCTGTAGCTTTGGAGCCTGTCCTGGAACTAGCTCTTGTAGACCAGGCTGGCCTCAAATTCACAGAGATCCTCCTGTCTCTGCCTCCTGAGTGCTGGGATTAAAGGCATGCAACACGACCACCTGCTAGATCCACCCACCTCTTCATTTGTGTGCTGGGATTAAAGACAAACACCACCACACCTAGCCCATTTCTATTTAAAAAAACAACAACAATAAAAAAAACCCCTAAATTTCGGAAAGTTCTTCCATCAAAATATCACAAGTGAAAGGCCTCTTACTGATGACCCTGTGAGGTACTGAGAGAGGCTGGTGCATTAGCATCAGCTGCCCATGACTTATACTATTTTTCTCTGTTGATATGCAGATTTTCTTATACACATAGTGTGAAACAGGGAAAGCATATAACTGTCCTTTTCATATCTAAAATCAATTGTCAAGCAATCAATAATCTGATCAAAAACATTTCTGAAGATTCTAACTGATTTCTCAATGGAAATTTGAAATACAAATGAGTCATTACAAGTTGATGCAGGCCAAAACAATACTCGCAAGAAAGTGGCATTACAAAACAAAGGCTGACTTGTCATTTTAACAAACAATAAATAGGTGGTAAACTGTAATCCTGATTTTCAAGGCAAGGAAAGAAAGCTATCTTAAGACAAAGGCTGGAAAGAAAGAAAGACTGCCCACAGGGAAAGCTGTCCTAACACAACCAGCCTCAACCTTCCTGAATGCAATCTAACCAGTGTTCCAGACAGATGGGTCAAGTGTTGAGGCGAAAGAGGCTGGGAAGGTTCATTGTTAGCTGACAGCAGAAATGAAAACACAAGCGACCACAACCAATAGACTACACTATCAGAGAAGAAGCACAGTGGAAAGCAGCTCATGACTCCAAAGGACAGATAGCTAGACATGGGCCAGGACAGGCATTAATGACTTTTTCACTGAAACATATTGTGAAGTAGAAAAAATAAAAACTTAATATAAGCCATTAGCTTTTGTTATGAATATTTATTCATTATGAGAAAGTAAAAGGGGGTTTTACCTGAATATATCACTCCAAAAACTACATCACCACTGTGATGGCTAATCTCGGTTGTCAACTTGACTACACTTTAGATACTTTAGAAAGTATCTAAAGCTGGGGCTGGAGAGGTGGCTCACTGGTTAAGAGCACTTCCTGCTCTTCCAAACGTCCTGAGTTCAATTTCCAGCAACCACATGTTGGCTCACA